AGGCTTCAGCCAGTCATCTGGAAGAGAAGCGATCTTCCTCCTCCTGCAGGCAGGCATGTATCTGGATGTATACGCATGCATACACATATACGTAAGAACACAAAGCTAAGCGCATTCGCTATTTAGAGGGGAGAGGCGGCCAGAAGTGAGCCCAGGGCAGGACCCCGCCGGCTGAGCGCGGCCCCCGGGTCGGTTTAAGCCGGCTGCCCTCTGCATCGGTTCAACGCCTGCTTTGGAAATGGCACACGGGAATTCTGCAAAGAACCATACACCACTTTATTGGCCGTTTCTGCACCGGGCCGACCCCGGCCGGGGTGCGGGGCGGGGGGTGCTAAGAGAACGGGGCTGCCAGCAGAGATTGGGGGGGTTGGGGGGTGTCCCCCCAAACGCCCCAGCCCGGGGACGGCGGAGCCCAACAGCGGCCGTTTTCGAAAGCTTTTGCCATCGCTCAGCTCTGCCCGGTGCCGCCGCCGCCCCACCCGAGTGGCGGAGGGGGGCGGGGGGAGCCCCGCCGCCCGTGCCGCCCGCCGCGCCCCCCCCCCCCGCCCCGGGGCGGCGGGAAGGGGGGGTGGGGGGGAAGGGGAGGGGAGGGGACGCCGCGTCCCGGTGCCCTTGGCGCCGCCGGCCTCGCCCGCCCAACCGCCGCCCGCCAGCCCGCCCGCCCGCTCGCACCTCCCTCCCGGTGCCCGCGGCGGGCAGTACCTGCCGGAGGGCGCGCAGCGAGCGGCCCAGCGCCCGGCCCAGGCAGCGAGACCGCCACAGCAGCAGCATCGCGGCGGCGGCGGCGGCGGCGGGAGGAGCCGGAGGGCGGACACCGGAAGTAGGCCCGGCGGGAGCCGGAAGTGCGCAGGGCCGGACCAACCTCTCCGCAACTGGGGGGAGCGGGCCTGGGTGGGCGGCACCATCGCGGACGGGGGCGGGCAGGGAGACCTCCGGAGCCGCCTGTTGACCCCCAGCAAGGGCGGGTCGGGCCCCGCGCTGCCCGGCCCCGCCGCAAGCGGGCGCGGGGGCGTCCGTTTTACCCGTTACCTTACCTCCGAGTTACGTCAGCCGCCGTTCCTGGCGTGTGAACGCGCCGCCGTGTTACCGCAGGGTGCTGGCTCCACGCCGCTCCTCGCTGAACCGCCCGGGCTGCTGCAGCACGGCCGCACCGGCGGTCCGCCGGCTCCCCTGCACAAATCACGGGGGTCGGGCTCCCGTGGGATGGCGTCGCCACGAGCGTCGGCCGGCGGGATGTGGCCTGGCTAGAGATGGGCCAGGAGGGCGTCTCAGCATGGCAAGCGGGCAAACGAGTCCACGAGCACACCCCCTTCCCCCGGTGTTGGTCCGTGGGTGGAAAATGTTTGAGAATCCCCCGGCTAGCTTCTGTTTTCTGGCTGCTTCCCAGTGGGGAACCACTGGTCGGAAGAAAACCCAAGGAACCCGTTCGCAGAATCTGAGAGTTAGCTTGGGATAGTCATAAAAGGCTGTCTGGCAGCCAGGCATCTCTCAAGGAGCCAAGTCCAGGTTATGCACATCTCCTTAATGTAGCTATTGCTTAATAATGTATGAATAGTAAACTGCAGCCTTCAAAATAATCATCTAATATAAATTCTCAATGAACATCCTTGGGATCATTTTCAAATAAGTTGAATAGTAATCAGCAGAGGATAGTTTCTGAGGCATTGAGGATGTGCTGACTGCTTTAATAAAAGGCAACTGAGGCAGAAAGGCTCTCTGCCAGGGATTTCTCTGTGATCTGTCTTTCGAGGGCTAATATACTTGTACAAGACCACCTGATGTCAACTGCCTTTAACCACAGCCTACCAAATGAATCCCCCAAACGTTGCCATGTTCAGTAAGCGTGTGGAGGCAAAGCAGATGAAGCCCCAGGATTGACATGCATGACAAGGCTTTGTCCGCTCACCTCACAGCTCCTGCACAAAGCGTCTCAGCCACATGTACCCCTGGGGCGGGTAGGTTTGTCCTGAGCCTGGGGCGTGCTCAGCTCAGAGTGATGTCGGCTCTCCTGGCTGCAGCAGTGTCTCTAAAGCACTCCGCGATAAGCAAGAGACTTGGTGCTGCTGCTTTTACTGTCTTGTTCCATTTCCTGGCCACTTCCTACACCGCAGACCTCCGGGCCAGCCAAAATGCCTCCACATCCCCCTGGCAGGGGATGTTGGAGACGCCTGGGTGCTTTCCGTGGGAGCTGGGCAGCGCTCCGAGCTCCAGGCTGGCTTCTCCTTTGCCTGTGGCGCTGCTTGCCTCTAGCCTCATGTACTTGCATCATCTCACCAATGGTTCACCATCCTGCGTCCTGGATGGGGTTTCCAGGCCAAATTGTAGGGGGGAATTTCTCATCTGGCCCTCCGCCCACCTGAGCAGCCAGCAGCTCAGCACCAGCCCTTGCACGCCCGACCCCAGGGGCTACAAGCCTGGGAGACCGCTGAGCGGCAGGGAAGGTGGCTGGGCCCCGGCGCTGGACCTGACCTCCTGGGTGTCCATCTGCATATTCAAAGCCGTTCCCAGCCGGTTGGCTGCCTCTGGCCTCCCCACTCCCTCTTTAAAGGACCTAAGCGCAGCGAGAGGTCTCGCTGTCGCTGCCTCTGTGGCATCCCACAGTCCCCGGACTCCTGCCCGCGGGGTGCTGCGCTCCCGGTACCCCTGGAGCCAAGGTCAGTGGGGCGGAAAGGTGCGAGCAGCTCGGGTCGGGGGCCTTTTGCTGAAGACAGAGGGATGTGGCGGCTGGGGAAGGCTCGGGGCGGGAGGCGGCGGGGGGATTTGCGGTGCTGGAGGGACGGCAGGCTGCTCTGTGTACGGCTCTCCCACTGAGCACCTGGGGAGCTCATGTGGGGTGGCTCCCATTTTGGAGACGACGTGCTTGCTTTCTCTTCTGTGCGTCTTCATTACATTCCTTGGTCTTTTTCTTCAGGTAAGAGGAGCCTTGGCTGCTTTTTAGTGTTTTGGAAGGTGGTACTGGTGAAGGCTGGTAGTAAGAGTAGGAACCGAAGCACACGTCTGCTAACTCAGCGGGGAAAGGGCTGCATCAGCGGGAGCAGATTGTTTGGGGCAGCACCTCCCAGTCCTGCAGTGCTGAGGAGGCTGCGGCGGGAGCTGAGGCCACCCATGGCAGGCTGCCATCGCCTGGGACTGCAGGCTCTGCTCCCAACCTCCAAATCTCTGGCAGAAAGACGGTAGTGCTGGAAGCCTTAGGGAAGTAGAGGGCTTCTTGCCAGCTCTGAGTTGATATGCTTACGAGGGGTGTATCACCCCAGGCTTCTGGGGGTGGGAAGCCTTGGTGCAGGGGACAGGTAAGCTCCCTGACCTTGCTGCTGAACACAGAGGAGGTGAGAAATTGTGACCAAGTGCCAAAAGAAGGTGTTTCTGTAACAAACCGAGTGAGGTAGCAGGACTGGCTTAAGGGTGGATGAAACCTCTAACTTCATTGCATTTGCTGCATGGCTTTGTTGGAAGCAGCTGGCGGGCTAAGAGCCGGCCGCAGGTGTTGGTGAAACTTGTTATACAAGGGTGAGGGGTGATGCTGCGAGCTGCTGGAACCCTGGCCTTGCACTGGCCACAGGTAAGCTGAGCAGTTTGAATGCTTCCACAACAGACTGTTAGGGAAATGAAACCTTAATGGTCGGGAGGGGTGGGGAGACAAGGTGGGAGAGCAACACGTGGTGTCGGACAACCCAGAAAGTACTTGGTTTGTCCGACAAGACTAGAGCTCTGCAAAAGGTAGAGCTCTCCCAGATACCTGCCTGGGATACAGGGCTGTTTGAAGAAAGGCAACCTGCTGAAAAGCAATGAGAAGAAACACGTTTTCTACACTGCTCATTAGCCTGGGGGATTTGCCATGGAGCAGACACGGGGACAGGATACTGATAGTGTTGAAAATGATCAGACATTTCTGGATATAGCAAAGGAATCTCAGACACTTTAATGATGTCTGGAAAAGATATAAACTGTCCAACTTCAGGGATGCAAAGCTACTGCTAAGTAACATGGATCAGGAAGAAGCATCCCACAGGGATGATTACTCTGTAATTGTCCAGGACATGAGGTTTTGCACCTTCTTTTGCTAAGCTGTCCAAGCGAGCTAACAAGTGGAAGGGGTGGATCCCTGCCTGGAATCAGCATGAAAATTTTAAGCCCGGGGCTGCTGGCTCAGTAGTTCTTCTCTTCCCTGGTAATCTCCATCCCCATCCCTTTTATTCAGTGTTATCCCAAGTGCTTAGGAGCCCCGTGCTGTGTTAGCCTGAACATCCCAATGTGTCCCACTTGCAGCAGGTCGCATCACACTTTCACCCTCGCTGTGCCCCTTTCCGCCAGCCTGTTTGTGCCACCCCAGCCCCTCAGTGCTGCCGCCCATCACCGTGCCCTCAGGGCTGTGGTGGCAGGTGCTGGGTGCAGGCAGAAGAGCAGCCGTGCCCTGGCCTAGCTGCTACGTGCCGCAAGTGCCTTCAGCAGGGATGTAGCTGCTGTCCCTCTGCTCTGTCAGCACCTGGGAGCACACAAAACCACCTTTGCCCAGGTGTACCTGGCAGAGGGCTAAGTCTGGTGCTCACCACCCTTGTACCTGAGTCCATGAGCCCAGAGGGGAGTTTCCCCAAATGCCTCCAGTGCGAGCACAGCTGGTGATGTGGGAAGTCCATGCTGCTGGGCACACCCGTGTCCCAGACCGTGCGAAATGTACTCTGGGCATGATGGGTGCCTGGCTGGTAGGTGGGAGCTGTGACAGTGCCCAGGGTGTTGCTGCTGTCATGCAACACACCAGGCAGCCTGCTCATGGGTTTGGCAGTGCCTGGAGGTTTCTGCCTGGGTCATTCCCTGGTGGAATAGATTCTGCAGGGGATCAGGAATGCCTTGGAAATCTGGGAGGAAAAAATCTCTGGCCACAGGCACAGAGAGCTGCTGTATGAGGTCCTGCCCACTGATGTTTCTTGCTCTTTCTTCAGCTCCACATTTCTAGCAGGCTGAAACATCAAACACCTGGGAAGCCTGCCAGTCTGTCACTGGAAATGATCCCCAACCAGCTGAGGGTTGTCTCTCCAAGGTCCAGGCAGGCAGAAGAGACGATGGATGGCAGGACGGGCTCTGAGCAGGACAGAGACTGTGCCACTTCAGGGCACAGCCAGGGGCTGAAGTCGGAGCCCTGTTTCCAGACTGACTCCCTCTTGCCTTCTGCCAGTGCGTCCCTGATATCACAGCTCCTCAGCCACCCGGTGGTTGGCAGGAGCCTGGATCCCGCCGTCCTTTTCCTCTCCTCCCAGGCAGTGGCCCTGCCTCAGGACTATGAGTGTGGTGCATCTACTGGAGAAGGAGCGCAAGCCCTCCTGGCTTTTCCCAGAACCTGTGCCCCAGCTCCCATGCCCTGTGCTGGCGACAGGGACCAGCTCTCGGACCAGCACCTACAAGCCAAGCGGGCCAGGGTGGAGAGCATCATCCAAGGCATGAGCCTCCCACCAACCCCTCAGGCATTTGGCACCAGCCTGGAGGCAGCTTTTGGGCATGAAAGGGAGCAGGGTGGCGAGATGGCCCGGGAGAGCAAGAGGAAGCCAAGAGTACCCCAGCAGGGCACAGGGGTGGCCAGGCGAGTGACCCTTGTGGGGGGCAGCCCCCATGCCAATGGCTACCAGCAGCTGAAGGAGCAGCTCTGCTTTTTAGAGCAGCAGCTGAGGTGGCTTCAGGAGAAGTTCTCCCAGGTCTGTGACGCTGGGGATGCTGCCCAAACCCAGGAAGGTGCTGAGAAAGTGCATCCACTGCCTAGAAAGCCTGGAGACAGACTGGACAAGGACAATGCCACTGCCACCAGTGACCCATGCAAAGCACCTCTCTGGAAGAGTGTCCTGGAGGTGCATGGGCCGGAGGAGGATGAGGACAGAGGCGACACAGGTGCCCTGCCCTCGGCAGTGAGGGTCCTCTCACAGGCACTGAAGTACGAGCTGGCTGGGGTGACGTCCCGGGTGGTGGACTCTGTCCTGAAGACTGTCTGGCCTAAGGCAGCCAGCCACCTCCTGCAGCAGCACTGCAGCCTCCCGGTGCAAGGGCCAGATGCCAGGAGAGAGTATTTTACTGCTGGGAAATGCAGAAAGCCACTTGCTAAGCCATCTCCCATGAACGCACAGGACTCACTGGGCTCATCCCAGGCTGAGGCCCTGTCAGGAGCGTTGGGGAAGAGCCCAGGCTCTCATGCTAGCTCCTTCAGTTCAAAGGGGGTCAGAAAACCCTCTCAGGTACCCAACATGGGTTATTCACTGGGCTCGGCCGCTCCTGTCCAGGACAGCCAGCTGCTGAGCCAGCTGCTGGGCTATGGCCAGCACGGCCTCTGGGGCAGCGGGTCTTGTGGGAGCCCCTCTGCTCCCGAGAGAGGTCCTCTGGAGCCCCTTGACTTGCACTGGGGAGCTGTCAAACTGAGGTCATCGGTCATGAGACAGCAGCAGCAGCATCCCCTGCCGCTGAGCCCTGCTGAGATGGAGAGCCTGGCGCTGCTGCCGGCTGGCAGGGATGGCTGCGGGGAGCTGCAGGCTGCGATGGACGAGGCACCCTTCGCCTCCACCCATATATCCTTTGGAGGCAGATAGAGGGGTTCCTGGGCTCAGCTGGAGCTAGAGGTCTCTGGGCTTGGCTGTGCTCCCCTTGTCCTCCAGACCCACAGCACAGCCCCTGCCTCTCTCCACAGGGCCAGGGTCCCTGCTGCTCCACAGGGGGTTAAAAAGGAGTGGGCAGGAAAGGGGTCCTGAACCATGGAGAGGCACTGCTGCTCCTCAGCATTGGTTAGATGCTGTAGCGTATCTGGGGGTAGAAGACAGGAGCTCCCAAGCCTGCTCTTAGGCCATGTTGGCTGTCCCGTCATCCTATGCCAGGAACAGGGTCTCCTGGAAATCCCTGTTCCCACTGGCCTGGGAAGTGCCGTGGGGAGCAGCAGCTTCCCTGGGGATGCCGAAAGGAAAAAACAATGACTGCCAAGCCGGGGACGAACCCCCTGCTGCCAGGCCATGGGGAGGGGTTATTGTGGGCACCAGGCATGTGCGTGCCAGGGCCACTGCTCAGGGACGCACTGAGCCCGTCGGGCTGCTGTGTGCAGGCTTTCCTTGACCCCAGGGCAGATGCAGGAGGCGCTGACCCCTGGCCACCTGAAGAAGGCCAAGCTGATGTTTTTCTTCACCCGCTACCCCAGCTCCACTCTGCTGAAGACCTACTTCCTCGACGTGCAGGTAAAATGGCAGCAGCCAGTGCTGGTGCTGGGCAGGGCTCCTGTGCGGCGTGGCACTCAGCCCGCCTCACTGGGCAACCACGGGGAAGGGGGTGCTCTCATGTTCCCCCACCTCACTGGCAGGAGCAGCGGGATGGCACCCACTTCAGCATGGGCTGCCGCGGAGTGGGTGCTCAGGGCTGCGGCAGACCTGGGCTGCCAGGTCTTTGCTCTCTGCAATTAAGGTGTTGGGATTAAAGCACATCACGAATGGGCCTCCCTACTACACGGTGACCGAGATCCAAATCTCAGCAGGGAGAGGCACCACAGACACCCCCATGTCACAGTGCTGGCTGGTGCTTTTGCACCCCTGAGGGCAGGGCTGGGTTTGGGGACAGGGCTCATGGGTTTGGGGGCTCCAAGCCAGCGTAACGCCTGTCCTTCCACTCTCCCCGCTGGCAGTTCAGCCGCTGCATCACCTCCCAGCTCATCAAGTGGTTCAGCAACTTCCGTGAGTTTTACTACATCCAGGTGGAGAAGTTTGCCCGGCAGGCCCTGCTGGAGGGCGTCGTGGATGCTGGCACCCTTCGGGTCTCCCGGGACTCAGAGCTTTTCCGCGCCCTCAACATGCACTATAACAAGGGGAACGACTTTGAGGTGAGGAGGGGGAGCTGGCAAGCAGGGGTGGTGGGGTGATGAAGGGGAGCAGGGGACCTAGTGGTGCTGTGGGCTGATGCCCGTCTCGCCGCAGGTGCCCGGCCGGTTCCTGGAGGTGACCAGCCTGACGCTGCAGGAGTTCTTCAGTGCTGTCAGGGCGGGCAAGGACGCCGACCCCTCCTGGAAGAAACCCATTTACAAAATTATTTCCAAACTGGACAGCGACATCCCGGAAGGGTTCAAAGCCCCTGGCTGCTCCCAGGAGCTGCTCCGCAGCTGAGTCCCTGTGAAAGCAGCCCCAGGTCCTGCGTGCAGCCACTGTGTGCTAAGCACCTCATGGGCACTCTGTACAGAATCCATTATTCTGAGTATTTTCTCTCTGGCCTGTAAGACAGTTCCTTGGGTGAGGGCTATGACTTGCCTTAGGTTCTGGGATTTTACGCTGTGTGTTTTATTCCTCTGCTCAAAGCTGGTGGGGTCCTGCCGGAGACCCTGGGAGGGGAGGGATAGAGATGAAGCCATCAGGTTGGAGCCTGGGAAATGGCCCTGCCCCAGCTTTCCCTGTGATCCTGGGCAAGCTGCCTTCCTTCTCTTCTCCAGAGGGCCACAGATTAGGGCAAACAGCCTTTCTGTTTATAAGGCAGGCAGAGGTCCTAGCAGCGGGCAAAGTTTTCTTGGCGCAGCAGACCAGTGGACGTGCCCGGTCCAACAGCACGCCCCTGTTTCTGTCCAAATACAACACGCCAGTGTCCAAAGAAAACAGCTAGTGAATTCTAGCATTTCAAGCACTCCATGGGGATAGCTGATCCTGTCTGAGAGACGTAAAAACAGAGTTTGTTGTAGCCAGACTGAACAATACTCCCGCCCTGCCTCCCTTGTGCTGTTTGGGAAGAGCCCCCCATGCAGCTGCACGCTGCAGCCGAGCAGGTGAGTGTGTGCTGGTGGAAGCAGCCCTGGAGGGACCACTCACCAGCAGTGTCACCCAGGATGCTGGAGAGTAGGGTGTGCATCCAGGCCCCATCAGCCCATCACTGAGGAGGAGAGTGCCATGTTAAACACCCACCTGCATCCCCTTACACCATGCTTCTGCTGGCAAAACCGCCCCAAACATCTCACCTCCACAACCTGCCCATGGTAAAAGAGATGCACATAATTTGGGCCCTATCAGTCCCTGTGGGTTTTAACACAAAGTGGTGAGGAGCTGGGCCCTGATGCCTGCAGCCCCATTGCTATAGGGGTGTAAACCCAAGGGTTTCTTTTCCCTGTGACCAGGACTCAGTGGCTGCTTTTCCACCTGATGGTGTGTGGCAAAGTGTTTTGTGTTAAGGGCTCTCTCATCCTGGCAGAGGTGGCGGTCGGGATGGAAAGGCCATGAAGAGGAGAGAGGCCCTGGAAGAGGCATGGCAGGAGGGCTCTGGGAGGGCAGTGATGCATAACTGTGAATGAGCAACGATGTTCCTGTGCAAAATGCTCGGGGAGCAGAGGATTGTGAGGTCAAGATGATGTTGGATGTGCTGCAAGGTGCCAGCTGGGTACTAGAGCACAGCAAGTGACACGGGAGAGGAAAACTCACAGCTCCAGAATCAGACAAGTGGACAGGGTGATCCACAGGCAGTGTGTCTGCGGGGGTAAGGAAGCGTGTGGTAACATCAGGGCAGAATGGGGTCTCCAGTAGTTCCCCTCATCGTGAGTGCAGCTAGCCAGATTTTCTGCTTGTTTTTTAAGTTCGTTTCTTGAAATTTGTATATTTTACAACCCCAATACCAAACTGACTCGATCCATTTTTAAATAAACGCATGGTTTAAGTTACCCCTTTACCTCCCTAGAGACCTATTTGATAACTTCTGCTCTAAAGCATTACCCTGGGAATTTATTGCCTTTTGTTGGGAAAAGAATAACACTGCAGCAAAAGGGCTTACTCCTCCTGCCAGCATCGCTGTGGGGCTGAGTAGCCCCCACTGACCAACATGCTCATTTAAATCTGCGCCCTCACCCTAATGCCTCAGGGTCAGTCTGCTCTGAAGTGCAACTTGTCAGGAGGATCAGCAAGGGGGGGTCAGACGGGGTCACATCCCAAAGCTTACGGGTGCAGGACTCAAATGTACAGCATCTGAGCAGCGCTGCTGGTGGCACCAGGAGGGACAGGACGGTGCTGTTCTGCAGGCAGTAACTACCTCAGAGCTTAAGTAATGCATTGGGTAGGCAAAACCGACGCTGCTGAAAAAGGAAATGACGGTCTGGGTCAGTTAAGGGGTTAGTAAATTCTTTTGGCTGTAGCTAAGCAATCAGTGGACATAAGATACAGGTTTACTGAAGATACGCTGCTGGAACAAAGCCCTTTTACATCAAGTCCCTGGGGGAGCAGTTTCTTGCTTCCTCTGCTAACATGCAGGTTTGTGGGTGTCAGTAAAGTGGCAGGAGGGGGGCTGAGGGCAAGGCAATGCCCCAAATCACTGAGTCACAGAGTGGCTGAGGTTGAACGGTACTTCTGAAGGTCATCTGGCCCAAGCTGGGCCACCAAGAGCAGGTTGCCCAGGACCATGTCTAGATGGATTGTGAGTATCTCCAAGGAGGCAGACTCTAACCCAACCAATTAAGAGATTGAAGAGGATTAGACCCAGCATTTGGAGCAGTAATTTTTGTTCCAGTGTTTGTCATATAACTGCAAGGAAGTGGGAACTACAGAGCTGTGTTTTACACTGGCTTTTGTGAAATGTGGACTAGCACGACCACAACAAACAGCATCTCACGTCAGTTATCTTTTGTCTGTGATGAAGCCTTGCCACTTGTATCCATGGGTTGAATTTTGACCCAGGCAGATTTTCCATCCAACATAAAGAAAGAAAAAAAAAAAAAAAACAAAACACCACCACAAAAAAAAACCCAAAACAAAAGAAAAACCAAACCAAACAAACAAACAAAAAACCCAAAACTAGAGAGACTCTGCAAAGGACATGAGACCACAGGACACTTGTCTGCCTGGCAACTTCCCCAGCAGCTTTGGAACCCCCTGACCACCTTCAGCCAAGTGTGATAGAGAGCACCGAGGTGTCAAGGATGCAGAGGGAGCATCCACCCATCTTCTTGTCACTCCCCACTCCCTCTGCAAGCAGAGCTCCTGTCTGCGGAGCCTAGGGTGCAGCTGCCTGCTCTGGGGGTGCTTGTCTGCCCACAGCCAGGGGGGTTGAACCTAGGTTCTGCTGTGCAACGCTGAAGCACAGCCCCATGCTCCTGCGAGAGGCTGGGAAAGCAGCAGGGAGGTTGTGACCCTCAGGCTTGGGTGGGCTCCTGCATCACCATTTCCCACTAATTACCTGAGGATGCAAGCAGGGTAGCACGCTGACCTACTGCGAACTCAGTTTCACGTTAAACAAAACAAAAAGCTTTCCTTCCCTCTATCCAAATTTCTGTGGTATATGCAAAAAGCCCACAGCCACCCGTAACTGTATCCTCTGGGAACAATTTCTCAGGGCTATTCTTCTACATTTCCGATCACATTCATAACCCAACCACAGCAATGCACCCAGTCCACCCAGCTAAACAGCACAAAGGCTGCTAAGCACTAAAAATCAGTTTCCCGCCTCCAGGCTGGTCCTGTAGCAGCCGAAAGAGGGAGATGTGACCACACTGACTAAACTGGTGAGGCCCAAGAGCTCTTATATATTCATCTATGTTATTACTTACCATAAGAGCCTGTATTACTCATATACAGCTAATTAGGGTTTGAAGAAATTCCTAGTGAATGTTCATCCTGTGTGCCAAAATAGCTCGGGGGAAAACTCTGACAAGCAATAAAACAGCTCTGGTTTTTCTTTACTCCTGCTATGGACCTGTCTGCAGTGACTGAACCAGCCCTGGAGGTTCCCAGCTCAAGCAGATCTCCTTGAAAGGGACCTTCCCTCAAATACACATCTCATGCATATTTGGCGTCAGGGCAGCCCTCTCCAGGTAAGCAACCCCTGGTGAGCCAGTGGCCTGTGCTCAAGAAATCTCAGCAACATTTGCTGTCCCATTACACGCAGGAGAAGGACGGATTAATCCAGGTAACAGTACAAGCGTAGCTGAGAGATCCAACATCACTTTTCAGCTGGAGAAGACACACCCCCCACACCCCCCTTCCTCTGCTCCCAGCTCACCTGCAGCGGTTCAGGTGCAAGCACCAAGGCTTGGGTGCAGAGGTGAGCAGGGTGGAGAAGGGAGATGTCTCACTGCAAGCTCTGCCCAGACAGGGCAGCACAGGCCAGCACTGTGACAGGGAGGCCATCGTGTAACCCAGGGGCTTTCGAGGGAGACAGTCTGAGCAAGGGGTGCACAAAGGAGTGAGAGGACAGTCAGCCACTGCTGGAAGCTGAGTGCAGACTTGCTTTCACCACCCAAAACCAGCAGGTTGGCTGGTGGTAATGCTCGCCTTGGAGGGGAGGCAGGCTGCCATGTGTCTGTGCGCAGATAAATACCAAACTAGTAAATCCACTCTTAAAAGTGGGCCTTATCTAGAATACTCAAGAACAGCCATTTAAGTAAAGCCATGGCTCTCAAGGAAAAGCAGATATACGTCAACACTCAATATGTGTGATGACACAGTCCATATTCATATATTAATTCCTTCTCAGTGAACTGTACAGACTGCTGAATGGTAGGTGAAGTCCCAGGTCATGATCAACTTTTGGTAACTTATAAAATATTACAAAGACCTAAACTTTCAGAAATTTCCTATTTTCTCCTTTTGAGATTACTTTCAGCATATTTACAGTAAGCAATGACACTGTCAGCTTCTGCAGTATTTCTCTAGGCTTCCCAAATTTAGCAACTTGTTTTTTAGCACTAGGCAATTTTCATTTTGTGTATTAGGGTCAAACACTGGTCTCGGTTTTGCTATTCCAATAAAACAGGTGCTATAGACACCTTCTGTGGCTATTTCCCATTACCTACTAAGCAACATTTAATGACACAGCATTAAGTCCAACTGGCACGAGCCAAACATGGCAGCTTCCCTGCTGGTGTTTCTTGCTCAGGCTTTTATTGCTTTCTCACTAGTTGTTCTACTAGATTAACAAGGATTGTTCTTAAAAGTGCTAGCCTGTACTTGAGCAGATAAATCTTTTTGCTTTACTACAACCATGGAAAATAAGCAGCTAAAAGCAAGTGGTGAAGTGAAAAATTTGGATTATGAAAAGTACAAGACAGAGTAAAAAACCTGAAACTTCAAGGAAAATATTTTACTGGATTTCCCAAAGCACGTATATATCATCCATAGCTTTACACAAAGAACAGAAATGATAA